CAGACATGATTATCAAAAAAAAATTCATTTCTGAAAATGTATGAAAAACATGTTCGATGTAAATTTTATTAGGGGAGAGGAACTGCTGAATTTTCCGAACTTTTTTGCTAACCTGATTTTTTTTAACCTCCCTGGTATAGTTAGCACCTAAAATCAGATCTGGAAGTAGAGGAAGTGCCTGGTTCCACCCCATGCCTGAAAGTGTCTAAAAAGTATAGAAAACAAATAAAATTTTTTTTGGCAGTTCCAGTCAGTTGGACATAACCAGTTCCATATGGGATATCTCATATAGCATAGTACTTATGATTCGTTATTAATTTTCATCATTTGCTGCTATGATTGCTGATAATGGTTTTGATTAAAAATCAAGGAAAGTCTCAAGCATAAAGTCATCAATTCATATGAAAATTTTCATACAAAATTCCCGAAGAAATTTTGTGACGTCACAAAATTGAAAATTGATAATTTCCAAAATTGCAATTTTCGAAAATAAACAATTTCCAAAATAACAATTTTCTGAAATTGACAAAATTGCAAAATTGCTTTGATCAAAATTGGCAATTTTCATAATTTTCATTTTGATTTATTTTCAAAATAGAGCAATTTTCATTTTATTTTCAAACTCTGATCGAAAATGAAAAGCGAAATTGTAAAGAATTTAAAACTTTTTTCGTTTCATTTCATTTCGTGTAAGAAGTAAGGTCTGTAGCCCTTTTTCGAATCAGCAGGTTGATATTAAGGAATCCGGAGTGAAATTTACTTTTTTATCTTCTTTCAAATAGTTCATTGTCTTTCTCTTGGGCACATGTTGGGTGCTTTAGTGCTCATATGATTTTATTTCTTCTTCTTCCTCCTCTCATTCTTTTGTTTCGATTCGTACGGCATTTAAAGTTTTTTTTGACATGTTGATAATCATGACAAATGATTTATTGGAATATAAACAGCAAACTACAAAAGTGCAACTTTCATTTGTAATGGAAGTTGAATGAACTTTTTATTGACGATATGCGTGTAATGATGTTAGCAATGCGTAACAAATTTTAATCAGTACATGAATCAGCCATTTACTGGCAGTGAGCTGAAGTGGTTTAGTTGTACAGCAATTAAATGGTTTGGAACTTAATTATTGTACCGAAAATTTAGCGATCATAGGTTCGAATCTCAATAGATTTTTAATTTATGACTTGTTCTTTAGTTTAGGAGAGGTAAGGTCTGTATGTTGACTAATCGTCATTACTTTACCCTATATTTAATGAAATTCTGAATTCGAGAAAAGTCCGAGTCATCTTCGGCTCTGTTTAAAAGTTCATATAGTGGCATGTAGCTTGTTTGTCATAGGAACGTTAAGAGAAACCGTATGAAGCCTATATTCTTGACTTCCAAGACAGATTTAGTCATTACTGGTACTAGCTCATGTTATTGAAAGATTCAACTCACAGCCTTACTTTTGGCACAAAACAAAGAGAAGTCATCAAAAGGAGTAATACAAATTCAAAGTATCCTGATACTAGTCTAGTTTTAATTAATAAGATCTAGTGAATCCACAATTGTTAAATTTTCAGAAGTCATAAAATTTGTTGTTAATATTTAATGGCCTGAGGCAATGCAAAATTTTATCAAATCAAATTTACACGCATTTTCAATTTAGCAAGAATTCAACAATAATAAAAGTTCAGATTACTTTCACATATCGAATCAGCTTTTTTCACGTGAATAAACAAATTACAGGAATTACACGAGATTATTAATTTTGCGTATTACTGCACTCACACGGTGCTTAAATCTACTTTATATCCATATATTTAAAAGTGTGAAAGATTATTCATATTTATTAATCTCATTGCATTCGGAATATGAAAATTGAAAGCATTCATTCATTACAGACATTGTAGAATGCAAAATATAAAAATTTATTGGAAATGAAAAAAATTTCGCTTTTCATAATTCATAAACATACGTGGTGAGTCTTGTTGCATGTTTTTCTAGACAAATGTGCTTGCATGTTTATTTTGACTGGATGAAAATGTGAGATTTGTTTTTTTGTATCAATGCCAGCAACTTTAGGAATTATGAATTTGCATTCTTGAATGACAAATGAATTTATTAAGACCAGCTATGATTCTCGCTAGACAACTGCATGGGAGACAAAATAATCGACTTATGTCTTTGTATGCCAGTTGAGTATTACAATTAATATTTTTTAATAGCATTCTACAACTGCTACAAAAATGAATGTTCTGCAAAGTCATTTATAAAACAGTTGTAACAAATTCTTGATTTAATTTGAATAAATTGCCGACAGATACAAACTTATGACATTTTAATGCACTTTATTGGTTTGGAATATTAAGAATATTTTGTTGCCTTAAAACATGGTACCATTTATGTGTCCAATATCATTAATCTATCAAATGGAAATTTCAATAAAACACCTGACAAATTTGAGAATTTATAACCAGGAACAAAATTCTAGTCAAATAGCTTTTTCATGTTTAAAGCATATAACTTTATTCTAATCGATATGTTTATTAAACTGCTGTTGGATACAAAGTTGTGCATTTTGATGAAGAATGTGGAAAAGTGTTTAGTAGTTTAAGTGGTGAAGTATTTACATTAGGTACGGAAAGTTCTAAATTTGACTCCTGACTAAGTTAATTTGGAATCATGCTTTGAATTTTAAACCTTTTAGTTGAGATAGACTAGATACCAGAATCAACTCAGGGATGTGGTAAGCATTCTCAGTACCAAGATTAATTTTTAGACCCAAAACAGATTACATAATCACTCCTTTATGTCATCTTTCACCTTTTATACTCATAAATATGCTAGAATCTAGTTGACTTCCTTACAATATCAAACAATTGCTTCCTAATAGAAGCACCATGCAAAAATGCACCTCCGTCAAGTCGCATTAAAATAATAGAAACTCTTCTACTCATTGGCATGCAGTAATTGCATTAAAGTAAAGGCAAATCATTTTTTATTTCCATCCATTTAATTTCATTTTATTACTCAATTAAGCGTGGAAAGAGGAATATTAAAATGATAAAATGCATTAAAAGAGTCAGAGAGTGATTTGAAAAATGACATTTCATGAATATTGCAGAGATTACACTCGATCGCGACCGACCAGACTGCAGTCACAATAAAAACTTGTTACGATAGTCGAGTGTCAAAGCACGATTGAAAAAAAAAATAATATAATGGATCATAATTGGTGTTTTTATCTGTCGCTCGAGCTGAATGGTTGGAATTATGCAAGTGCCAGAAATAATGTAAGTCTAAAAAAATCTCATTTATCGTCTGTACGTCTACAACAACTGACTGTGTGGACATGTTTAAGGCATTAGCAAAATTACGTTGATCGAGAAGAAATTAAGCTGAATTTACATACAAAACGGTGAATTGCTTATGCAGATATGGGACATACATAAGCACACATACAAAATATTGTGTAATTTGCCAATAATTTAAAATTCAGCACAAAAATATTTTAAACGAAAGAGAAATTTAGAGCCTTAATGATCGCGCTTTAAATGCACTTAACGGACCACACCTCATGTACGTGAATATTTTATTACACTTAATGTCTTGTGCCTTTCTTCTTCACATACATAATCATTTTGTGCTTCATTAGAAATTTTCATTTGACAAATGTGAGATGAAATATATGGCATAATAAATAAAAGAGATGTCTTCAGCACCACATGTCATGGATGGAAACAAAGCAGGTGAATTTGACTCTGTAGGTGGACATAGAAAGTGCACTTTTGGTTATGGCTTTGAATGATTGAATGGGACAAGAGAAATTTTGTGAAAATTGACTTTATATTAAGTGAGGACCTCTCCGTGCCTAACAAATCTATCTTAGAGAATCAAGACCCTCGCTCGAATTGAGAAAAACAACGTCAGTTCAGTTACAGATCTCATCGAGCTAAATGTGCTCCAATATAATTTATTGAGCATCACAGTTATATTTCTTAATTGGTGCCGAAGAAGGAAAAAGAAGTGCTGCACATTTTCCATAAATATCATCACCACGTTAATTTTTTCCTCAGGCTACAAAGCCTGGAAAAATTTACAGTCATCGCATATGGAGAAATTTATATTTATTGCATCACATCCATTGCACTTGAATTGCAAGCGCCAATAAATGTCAATATTCATCATCTTTCTTCCACATCATTATTTTATCTCTTTTTTCTCTCATTTATTTCACGCTTTTGATGTTTTATTGATCATGATTTGATCATTTTAATCGAATATTTTTAAAGATTTTATGCTGATCGTGTTTTGGCTTATTAATCTCCCAGTTTATTCTTTAAACTGTCAATTTTTGAATTAAACTTATCTGATTTCAAATATTTTTTAACCGTTAGAATTTAAATCATTTATGACTGTTAATTTTAAAAATTTTAAAAAGCACAATCCAAAAGAATTTAATTTTTGATGTGACGAAGGCTATATTAATAATTTCTCAATTTATCCAGCATAGCATACTTTATGACGCAATGGATTTTTATGACAGCATCATCACGATTTAAGAAATTCTAGATATTTTTAAAGATGCACGGCAGATAAAAGCTATTGTTGAATAGAAGATAAATAATGCTGATTTAAAATGTAAAGCAGGTCGTTAACATCGTCGATAGACAAAACGAGATTCATTTCTTTTAGGGGATCTGATAAACTCGCGTGCGTCTACTTTAATTATAGAAATTCTTTTTGTTATTCTTCTCCGTGAATAAATTAAAGCACTTTTTTTTGTAAGAATGTACATTAAAATGCATCGCTACAAGGCAATTCGTTAGCTGTCTTGTTTGTGTTCTTTTCAAAAATAAAAAAAAAATACGAAACACGAGACAAGATCAAAATGTGTTGTCGTGTAATTTGAGAATTATTCATTTGCATTAAAATATATTTCAGTTCCTTTAAGTTCCTACGTTCCATCACATTTCATTTAAAAAATCCATAATAAGATTATGTCATTTTCGACTCACCTGAGAAGGTCCAATTCTATAAGTAGATGCATCAATTTCATTATAGGATAGAATCGATTCAACAGTGTTATTCTCTTTTGGTGTTGTTGTATCATTAAGCAGACCAAAGCGACGAACAAACTCGTTGAGTGGCACAGTTTCAGGAAAGCCAAGACGGTGAAGGCGTGCAGACTCAAGGATTTGTGAGCCACGAACCTAAATTGCAATTTTACAATAGCATCTAAATTAGCAAACAATAACAATAAAAATTATTTTTATGACTTGACATACCTGTGATCGGAGCAACGGTATATTAACAATATCTTCGCTCGTATGCTGCATTAATTTACCATTTGACAGACTTGCATTGCCACCATTGTGTTGTAATAAATAGCAATGTACAAAATGTGTTCCAGTTCGTCGTAAAGTGTCAATGAGACCATCAACGGTGAATTTGACTTGAAGCATAACTGAATTTCGCTTCACACCAGCTGATGTAAATGAACGACGAATGCTTGAAACACGACGCAGTGATTGCGTTCCTTCCATGCCTGCAATTGATCCGCAGAATATTGTACCACCGCGAGCCAAATTGCCAATAAATAATGAACTGATTTCTTCTTTTGAGCTGTCTTGTAATATACTGACAGCATTTTTAACGGCTGGATGTTCACGGCTTGCTTTGAGCCAACCGGTAGCAGAATATAGAACTGGATTAGTGCCTTGTAAATGTTGTAAAATAAATTGTCGTGTTCCTGCCGCTTTTCGCAGTAAATTTTGACTTTCTCTATCGCCATAATGAGTGAAAAGTCTTTCCAAGAATGAGTCATCGTTGGAGTTCGGATAGATTGATTCTTCATCAAGCAACCACAACAACCCACGGCGATCTGCTTCACGTAGATCGCGTTGCGATCCACGAACAACATGACTTTGGGGTGATCGATCAATTAATGAAACTAATGGTCCTGGGAATGATTCATTAAATCCTTCCATATCAATTTCGACCATTTCTTGTGCATATCGTTCACGTGGCATGACTAATGTTGTATGATGGAAGAGCAATTGAAGTCTCTCTTGTAAATAATTATGTTTTAAATCGGATAATGTGGCACCAGATTGTAATCCACAACTTGCTGGATTTTGGAAACCAGGACTATCAACTAAGAGTATTGATGCGATTGTATGAGTTGATGTTGATATAGATTTATTAATAAGTGAGACAGCAGCTGCTACGGCTTCAGAATACAATCCAATAACAAATCCTTCAAGACTATCAAATGCTGCATTTAAGGTATTGTCAATTATATCCGGTGGAGATCGAGTTGGTGTTCCTGGATTTGAGTTTGTTGGAGATAGTGTAAAGGCTGCAGCTAGAAGTTCTTCAACTTGAACACCCAGAAGACTTGCAGCTTTACGTGCAGCTGTTGGATGAGCGAATTGAATTCTTGCAGTTGTTCCATTTCCGACTTTTGTTGCAGAAGCATGTCCAAGATGATAAATAGCTGCTAATACACACCAAATAGCTTTGACTGCATTTTGATCAACATTCAATGTATGAAAAGCTTGCATTAAACGCACAAAGTCAGAAGATGCCTTTTGTCGTTCCTCCAACTTACTCGATATGGATACAAAAAGATTTGGTTCATCGAGATTAACATTGTCAAGTTGTAATTCCTTCTGAAGATGTCCTTCAGCCCCAGCAAGCAGTCTCGCTACAACATGATAATGCGACTCATTATTCATCCTACGTCCAGCACGCTGTTTCTCCATCAGCATTATCTGAACGGATGCACTTGCAATTTGTCCAGCATGATCAAAATCGAGGCTGAATATTTGCGTAAATCTTGTCGCGTTTGTATTAATAATAGTTTTTGTATTTCCAAATGCCTCTAGAATTGTGTTAATTGCATTGACCTTCTCAGCAGTCAATAACTTATTTGCTGATCCAGCCGCAAGTGTCAAATAATACAGTGCATGCTTAAATGATGCAGTTTTTCCACTACCGGATCGTCCTATAAATATTAAACTTTGGTCACGACGAGTTTCCAGCATTGCACGATATGCTGTTTGTGCCAATGAATAGATATGTGGTGGCATGTCTTCTGCTTTACAGCCTTTAAACATCGACACGACCTAAAAATTAGTTGACAATGAAATATTATAGAATTGAGGGAGATAACGTGTGTGTAATTTCATACCTTTTCAGAATAGAGTGATAATGGTACCATTGGATTGACAACAATTAATGTTGGCCCCGCTCTCGTATGTATTAAATTACTAGCATATCTTTGTCTAATACAATTCAATACTGATGCTTCATTTAAATGCTTTAGCTGACAAATATCTTCAACCAGATCCAATTCACCAGGATTAGCCTTCTCGACATCATCATCATCGACATACAACTGTTCACCATTATGCTCCAATTCGATAAAAACTTTACCAGGTTCAATGTTACCATTTGCATGTGACAAACGAATTGCTGCACAAAATCCGCCTCTATGAACAAGCCAAACACGCTCACCACGCTGATTCTCAATGTCTCCATTAAATCCATTCTCATGTGATTTTGGCTGCAAATAAATAAAAATAAAGGCTCAATAAATTATTCTGCCATCATATAAAATTAGAATAGATCTACAAATATAGAAACGATATTTGTCTTTCATTATGTATCAATATATATCTCAACAACATCAGTGCAGTCGATGAAAGAATAATAATAACAACAAGTTAATCGATTTGTTGTTTGTTTTTAGCATTAATTTGTAGAAGAAGTGCTTTTACATCAAGAGACTTATAGTCGAGGATTGCTAGTAAGAATTTTGAAATTCTTCTCTAATCCTGGTTTCAAGGTTGACTCTAATCATTAAGACAATTTTGTAGGAACGGTTTTGATATGAGTTTAAAATGTGATTTGTATTGATAGACTTGAACACGGAGCTTTAACTTAATATGTTTTTTAAATGTATAACTGTGAGCTGGATCTTGAGAAGTTACTCAGTGTCAAATGAAGACAGAACTTAGAATTTTGAATGTGATTCACTCGAGTTGTTAATGTCACTTGAGCAAATCTTCTCAATTAATCTTGTGCATTCTAATTTGCTCTGTTCTCTTCTTAATTTGAACTTCTAAGAAAGATTTATGATAAAAATGTCGTCTACGATTACTTCCAAAATCTTAAAATAATCGCTTTAGTCTTTTGTATTGTCGTCTAAATTGACTTTAAAACTTGTTTGCCGAGCACAAAAAAAAAGAGATTTTCCATGTAAAGGTGGCAAATAAAAAGGCAATAAATGGTAAATGGAAATAGATTTAATCTGAGTCAGTAGCTAATTCAATCGAAACTTTATCTTACATTTCAATCAACATTGAGAATGTTTGCATGGTTTATGAGTCACACACAGATAGATTTGAATCACAGTATAAACAAAGATAGATTGCATTTTAATGTGCGTTTTGAAGTTAAATGACATGAAATAATTCTGAATATGTCATTGACGACCCAATTTGTCATGTTTTATTAGCCGGCATTTCCTCGGTCTGTAACGCCTCATTGACATTTGTGTTGAGTGTTTCGAGAGACGTCCCTTGTTCCCATCTCAACTATAAACTCGTTGCATTTAGAATGAAAATCCGGGAAACTTCATGTAGTTTTCACTTTCATTTATCTATTTTTAGTAAATCTCTGAGACTTAATCTTGTGAAATATTAGGAAAATCTTTGCTTTATTTCTTTCTTTCTACACTCATAGAAAAAAAGTAACCATAATATTTGTTATATGTTTGTTAAACTAGTTTAACAAATTATTGGTTAAGTTTACATGGGTAAAAAAAATTTCAACCAAACTATTTGTTAAAAATTTTACAATTGAGTTTGTTAAATCAACAAATTTATTTGTTAATAATTGATTTAATTAAATTTTAATTTTTGTATTCAAAACTCTTGTTTGATTAATTTCAAACGATTCCCATTAATTTATTGCGTTATTTTTAATGAGAAAACTGCTTTAAATTGAATTTTGTTGATTTTGTTTAACAAATTAATTTGTTAATTTTAACAAAACATTTGTTACAATGTTTTTATTTGTAATTTGTTTTGGAAAATAATGATTTACAAACCAAATCGTAATTTAAAAATTAAATTTGTTCATTTTTTTAAGTCCTACATTTCTATTTTATTATTCATAAATTAATTTTAAAATTTGGATATATTTTTTAAAGAATTATTTATATTGGTTCTGAATCAAATTTTATAAGTAAAAGTTTACAAGCAGCGGACTAGCGGATCATCAACAGGAATTCAGAAGTTAAGCAACCACGGAAACATTTTAAAATAAGATGGGTGACCAAATTAACAATTTTCTGGTTAATATTAACCGAAAATTTGTTATTTTTTTCTGTAAAAAAAAATTTTAACAAAAAGTTTGTTAAATTAACAATTTTTATAGTTAACAATTCAACCTTACAAATAATTTGGTTAAATTTAACAAATAAGTTCGTAAACACTATTTTAACGAATTGTTTGTTAACATTTTCCATACAAGTTACAAACATTTTGTTACTTTTTTTCTATGAGTGTAGAATACAACATGAGACTCGTTTGGGAGGCTGACTATCTACTTTTGTTTATTTGAGAATCTTTAATTTTTTGAGCAGTTTTGTTCAAAATTTATATTTTTTATTATTTAAAAACACATTTTAAATAGAAATTTTATAGTCAGCCTGTAATTAGACCTACACAGCACATCCTATATTAAAATGCATTCAAGCATGATTAATGTCATCTTTATTATTCTACATTATTTTCAAGAAATTAAAAACAAAATTGTCGTGGTTAAGTTCAGAACAAAGCAATACAAAAAAGAAGGCCGAGCAGGAAACTGTTTCCATTTCAGCGTTATTTGCTTGCTTCACGTGTTTTGGTGGACGACAATGCGGCTTATATGCTTGTTTGCATCTTATCATTTCTATTTAATCATTATATACACAAAGAAAGTTATTTTGTTGTTTCTTCATTAAGGTGAAATAAAAAATTAACATATTTAAACAGTTTTTTTAAGTATGTACTTCACTTGTAGATTATGAAGGCACAAAGATAGAGAAGAAAAGTTTTCATTTGTTGTAAATATGAACTCATTATGACGCTGAATTGGATTAACGATAATCTGCATTTATGAGTGAAATTGGTGTGTTTAATTGGATTATTAAAAATTGTAATGAATTCAACACGCATAAAATCTTATTAAAAGCTATTTTAATTTTAATGATTGATGCTTAGCCATCATTAATTGTTTTGTTCAATGTTTTCAATGATTGTTGAATGTTTTATGTATGCAACATTGATGTTTGTTTATGATTTCATAATGAAAGGAGATAGAATTCCAAAATTTGTGTCTAAAATAGTTTTTATGATCATTGTGGGTCATCCTTAAATGATGTTTAATATAGTTTTAGGTTTAAAGGGTTCAAGAGCTATGAGATATTCCAAAAAATGTTTTTTTTTGACAAAACAACAAAAGCTAGTGTCTAGAAATTAGCCATCATTGGTATACGACCCCCAAAAATTTATGAATATTTCTTTTTCTCAGAATAATTAAATATCAAGGAATGATGAGCTTTTGGGGTTATTTTATATGTTAGATAATTTAAACATCCTATTATTAATGCCAATGATATCAAAAAAGATCATTTGAGAAGGTCATAAAAATGCGCTTAAAACACACATGTGTCATAAATTTCATAGTCATATTCTTCCCGTTTTGCTTCATCCACATCTTTTTTTATTGTTTGCAAGGTGATCGTCATTGATTTCATAGAACTCATAAATGAAAATATGGTAACTAAGTTAATGGTAACAGTAACGTGTACAAATTACAACAGTAAATCATCAACAATGTGGGTCTATGTGTATCTTCCATCATAGCTTTATAGATATCTTAATATTGAATGTATTAAAAGCATAGCAATTTCCTTATCACCTTGATCGATTCATAAATTGAAAAATAAAGAGTAATAACATGAAATTATTCAATAGACACTGTGCCTTTGCCACAGATTTACGATTTAATCTAAGATCTTTGAGTTCATTTTTCTCTTTCTTTCCAATCTCGATCAAAAAAATGTCGATTTAATTATAATTAATAGTCATTTGTCATAACATAACATACCTTCGTGTAGGTAAAGCCGTAGAGAATGTTAAAATGTATGTGGTCAACTACAAAGTTTGTTTAATAAATTAATGATAACGGTTTAATTATAAGCATAAGAACAACAAATACTGTTTAATTAAAATGGCAAGCCTTTTACATTTATGCATAGAATCGAGCTGAATAACAAGTAGTTTTCCATCAAAATTATTCTAATCTACGATTCATTAAAGATTATCTCTGAATCTCATATTTTTATTATATTTTTGTTATTTTTTTACAAGGTGGTAAATCGTGTACCTAATAGAATATTTTATTTACGGTGCTGCATAAAATTAATAGAAATCAGCATGCCGATGAAATATAATGCAAGATGCTGTTAGATATTAAAATATATAAAATGTATATGAAAACTAAAGTTTCTATCTCCTAGATATGCGAGTTAATTATGGAATCTTAATCGATTTGCATTGATTTATCGATGTTTATAAAATATGCGACGCAAAAAAATATTAGTTTTTCCTCAAATGCGATAAAAATGTAATTTTAGCTGTTTGCGGAGAATCCATTAATTATAATGAAAGCGTAAAAATTATTAAAATGTACTTTTTAATGTTTACGTGTTGTTCTTTTCTAACTGAATAAAGTAGTAACTCTAAGTCTATAAAGACACTTTATTATCGTCAAAGGAATCACACCAGCAAAACGACAATTGATGTCATTAAACCTAACGAATGGAAATTGCACAACAATTATTTATAATGACATCATCGTCAACATGATCATCGTAATCAGCTAGCTGCTAACATCGTGTTAGAATAGCAATTGCATTTACAGGTTCTCTCGCTCAAATCAAGAACGACAAAATAAATCGTCAATGTCTCAAGAACACTTGTCTTAGGCAAAAGAGAATTCAAAACTTGTCCACGTGGGTGATCCCATTCGTTTTCAATTATCGTGGGCTTTTTACTCATTTTAATTTCATTTCAATTTCAGCGGAATTTTTCGCAATTAATTTTTTTGCTATACACTCAGTTTGGGACGATTAGGAAGTTCTAGATATCGTGTTTCTTATGAATTACGTGACTCAGAGTTCTTAAATTGTTATTCGCAAAAATATGTGGTTCAGAATCAATTTGGAACTGCCATTAAAATAAAATGACAATTTGGTAACTGTTGCTTAGTTTTGAAAACAAATTAAAGAGAAATCATAGCTGTTGATCTTAATGTAGTTAATTTCTAGCCCTTCAAGTAAGTTAAAACTTCATTTCAGCATTATCTTTTGGCTAAGTTCATTTCAATCTGAACAATAACTTCAATTCAGATCATTTTTCGACTAACCTACAAAATTTATTAAAAATAGATCCTGTTCCTGTCAAAAACCAGGAATGCGCTCAAATCTCCCAGATCAAATCCCATCGACAA